ATTTCCTGGTTTCATAACAGATGCTGGGAGTGGAAAACTAGTTTGAGCCTGAAGAAGGTAATTTGTGAGACGTTTCTGTTTTGTCATCACATTTCCTCCTTAGTAGGCTTAACCAGTGGGCGAGTGGCTCCTGGGTCCACTTTAGACCCTGATTTTGCAGCCTCCCAAGCCAGGTGTAACCAGGATGTATGATGGCCTCAGCAATGTAAGGCACTGGCTCAGCATTTAGAGCACCACAGTTGGGGGATGGGGGATTAAGGAGGAAAACAGCACCAGCTGTCCAAGAGCACTGACCTACTTACTTTGAGTGCTTGCCTACAACTGCCTGTACAAGTTTGTATCTCCCAGGCTTCTTTCTCTACCACTGTCCCAGTCCCCCACTCCCTACCATTAATTTTGACACCCAACTACACTGAATAGTATGGTATTATTTTCGTTTTTTTTGGTCTTTTTGAGACAGGGTCTCCCTATAGCCCCAGCTGTCCTGGAACTATGTAGACCAGGCTGGCCTTGAACTCACAGAGATTTGCCTGACTCTGCCTCCCAAGTGCTGGGATTAAAGGCGTGCCACACCCAGCTACTTTGCCTTTTTTAAAAAATATTTTTATGTGTATGCTTGTTAAGTGTCATGCAAAGTCTACAGAGGACAGAAAAGGCTGCTGGATCCCCTGGAACTGAAGTTACATACAGTTGTTAGCTGCCATGTGGGTGCTGGGATTCGAACCCAGGTCTTCTGCAAGAACAACCAGTATTCTTAACCATCTCTGAGCCATCTCTCCAGCCTCCCCCGCTTTGAGACAGGATCTCTTGTATTCCAGGCTGGCCTTGATGTCACTATGTAGCTGAGGGTAACTCAATTTCTAATCCTCCTGCCTCTACCTCCTGAATGCTGGGATTATAGGCATGCTCCAACTGCCCATTTTATGTGGTACTGGGGATGGAATCCAGGCCTTTGTGCATGCCAGGCAAGCACATTACCAAATAAGCTACAGCCTCAGCCCCTTCTCCCTACTTCTTAAAACCCTAGACTTGTCGAAGGAAAGGCAAGTAGATCTGATTAGCAAATACCCTGTGTTTAACATACCATGCCTTAGTCCTTGAATGGGATAAATCTTACACTCACTGTAGGAGATGCCAGTTGTTTAAAATCATAATATGATCCATAGGTTAACTAAAAATGTTCAGAAGGGATGCAGTTTCCTTTAGAGATTTTTTTTTTCCTCCTCTGCTAGAGTTCAACCAGTAGCTGAAAGCTAAGACGAGCAACCTCATTATCCTGGTGCACACAGCTGGGTTTGGCAACACAGCCCCAGTCTGCCTTCCAAGTCCACTAAATGGCTTCAGAAAGACTTAGTGCTCCCCAGGAGCTTCAGTGGTAGGGGGAGGCCACCAGAGGTACTGAAGCCCAGCCCTCCCTCCTATGTGTAGACAGGCACAAACCACCGCAAGAGCGTGGCCTCCCAGCACTCCTTGGTAGCTCTACCAGTGCCTCCACAGGAGCTGAGCAGTCACACCAGGAAGCTGAGGTTCCACTGCCACAAAGCTCACCTCCCCTCAGCTTCTTCAACAAAGCTCCAAATTTTTAACAAACTACCTCATTATCCAATCTCAATCTGTCTCTTGGTGAAAACTGCAAGGCACTAGAAAGTACAAGGTATGAAGAACAGTCTTCACATAATTTGTCATTTAGCTCTATTCCTATCTGACCAGAAGTGAAGTGATGACTCAAATGTCCAAGAACACCTTTTACCAAACGGCACCACAATGGCCCTCAACAGGCTACAATAAAACTCAGCTCATGGGGTGCAGGCTCATTCTTGTGGCGCACCAGTTAACGCCAATTTGATTGTGGATATTTCGGATGACTCAAAAACTGAAGTAACGTCAGATGAGTCATTTTTCCTCTACCTCAGTCTCCATCTCGGTTCTTGGCCACCACATCCTGACTTGCTTCAGAAAAGCTAAAGCAAAAAAAACTAAAACTCAAGTAAATGAGAGCTAGTGATACAAAAGCTTTCCCCCCCTACCTTCCTGCTCATGGCTATTTCCTCATTTCTTCCACTCAACATTAAGAAATTAAGAGCTTTAAGAAATAGCATGGGTTTTGTTCGTGACTCCACCTTAATGTCACAATATTCAAGGCATACAACCAACTCCCATGAGACACTGTTTGGAGTCAGCTATCAAATGTGCCAAATCATTCAACTGGGGGTATATTCTTTGTAAAACAAAACACCCTCCGACTTAAGATACTATAATTATTTTTAATATAATGCTTAAAACGGAAACAGCTATGTGCCAGATAGAGGCTAGCATTCATATACTTTGGCTTAAACAATAATTCAGAAATGAGTTCACAAAAATTCTTTCACGTTCATGATGCTGGTCTTCATGAGATGTTGCTGTTCCTACTACCTAGGCCTCAGGACTACAGTGTACAGACTACAATCAGCCAGAGCTTGGTCATCTTCATTTAGATGCTACTTACAGAATCTTACTATGCAGCCCTGGCTGGCTGGCCTGGAACTCAGAGATCCACCCACCTCTGTCTCCCAAGTGCTGGGAGTCCAGCCTAGCTGAGATATCGTTAATTCAGGGAAATGGATACTATTTCATTATTTGACTCATGCAAAGAGACTTTTTGCACCTGTGAGAACCACAATGTAGTTTCCCCACTCACCCAAAGATGAGAATTCTCTCAAAAGCAGCCAAGTTGAAAGGTTGAGTCATCTTGCCCAGACCAGGTGATGGCTTACATTACCCTGGCGCCACAGAACAGCCTCCCTACATTACCCACAGCATCCCTTAGACCACCAGAGGACAAATTATTTGCTAACAATGCTGCCCTAAGACCCTCCCCTATACCCTAGCAGCCACACCCTGAGTACTGGGACAATACTGCCCTAAGCCTCTAATTCTAACCTATCAGCCCTAGGCCGAGAAGTCTTAGAATCCCACATGAACCAGTCAGGATGGTAAGACTTTCATCTGACTGCCTCCAACTGTTTCTATTTTTACAGTTAAAGACCCAAGGCCGCCTTCTCTTTGTCTAAATCAACCCTTTCTCAGGAGAGGAAAAGAACGGCAGCAACCTGGAGCAGTTGCAATGTAACACTGTTACTTGTAAACACTGCCAGGGTACCAGAGGGAACTGAGGGAATTGGTTTCCGGGGGATACTTGGCACTCCTAGAGCCTGCCTGGCTCTCAACGATTGGCCAGCTGTATGTGTATAGGGAAGAAAGGGAGAAAATGAAGTTCAGGCCCTTAAACTATAGATTATTGGGTGACTTTAAAAAAAAAAAAAAAAAGACATATAAACACAGAGACCAGCTCTTTCAACAGCTTCAAGAAGCTATTTCCATGCGTGACTCAGGACCTGAGGCTGAATCCCCTCAGCCCTCTCAGTGAATTAATCTCACCTGATTCCAAAAGACTATCTACACCGCCCCCAACTGCCTCCAACCAGCAGGTCTGGACCTTCGTTGTGAGGCTCACTTCTAAGTATCTGAGGTATCAACGTCCTGGGTTTGGAAAAGATGGTCAAGCAGCCAAGAGACGTTGGGTCTTTAAATAACCTTCAGACTAGAAGGTGCTTTCCTGCTTCTTCAAAAACAGTGTGGCATGCCACTGAGAAACCTTGTGGGTCCCCATCCTCCCGCCACAGCTGGAAACTTCAATCTTCAATCCCACAGCCCTGGCTTGTGATACATTTTGCCTGCCTAATTACACTCAGCTTTTGGGGCTTTGGCTGCACCAGCTCCTTTCAGAAACAGCCCTTGATTTTTAAGGCTTGAGTGCCTATCCGCCCCACGTCCCACCCCCACCCCGAGGCTCCTGAGCGCCACCATCTGGAGGCATGTGGCAAGAACGTGAGGCAGAGCTGCGCTCAGCTTATCCAGTCTGGTCCAGGCGCTGGGAGATACGTGCAGCCGGGTCTCCGCAGGATGGAGCGCGTGAGTTCTTGCAGTGGGCGCCATGCAAGGGGCCTGGCCGCACCGAGGCTCGAGGGCCTCGCAGGCCACCAGAAAAAAGGCGCGGCGCCACAAAATAAGAAAGCTCCACAAAAGCAGCCACCCCTTCATGCGCTGCAACAGGGAAGACTTAAGTTACGTAACGTAATCGGCTCGCCGCGCCCGAGCAGTCGCAGCATCTCCCCCGGTGTGCAACTACATCCTTCCCAGCCACACAGGGAACTCAACACTGCTACCCGCAGACCACTGCACTTTGGACCACGCCCGAGCAGTCGCAGCATCTCCCCCGGTGTGCAACTACATCCTTCCCGGCCACACAGGGAACTCAACACTGCTACCCGCAGACCACTGCACTTTGGACCGAGGCCCACAACCCCCCGGAGACAGGACCTCAAACAAAGGCCACCCGGGAGCTGGCTACGTGACTAGAAGGCAGGGGGCGGGGGGCGAGAGCACGGCGGAGGGGGAGGGGCGAAGACCCAACCGCACAGACTGGAAGGATACCCGGAGCGGACGTGACCAGAATGTAGGGGGGAGGGGCGGCCACAACGAGACCCAGGCGCGGGAATAGCCAGCAGACCCGAATGGAGGATGTGCAAGGGGGCTAGGGAGGGGGCAGGGACCAGAAGTTATTTCAAGGAGAGACTACAAGCAGAGCACATGGAGGTTGAAAATGAAGTGGCTTAAGAACTGGTACTAAAAGGAGGAGGAAGATGAACAGAAGAGTGAGCAAGATAAAGAGGTGGCAGGGATGAAAAGATGGAGCCAGACTGAAGAGGAAGAGATAAGCGAGGAGGGAACAGACCAGGACTCGGGGCAAGGGGCTGGCTGGCCCCGTCGGACCTTTGAAGCTCAGGTCCCGGGCGCAGGGATTTATTCCTCCTCTCCCCGCCCGGGCTGGATTCACGATACCCAGGGTCCTGCGCAGCGCCCTTCCTGGGCGCCCTGGGTAGGCAGGCCTGGATTTTGCACTCCCAGGCGACCGGGCCTCTGCTGGGGACAGATGGCCAGGCTCTCGTCCCGCTCACCTCCGGCGTGCTCCGGCTCTGGCTGCGTTGCACAAGTAGAACCGTAGGATTCCGACGCCTCGCTGCTGTGCAAGGACCCGCGGCCGCGGCCTCAAGGTTATCCCGGCTGCCGGCCGCCGCAATCCCTCCGCAGCCCCGCCCCGCACCCAATCCCCGCGGCCGGGCGGCTGCGCCCCGCCCCAGCGCGTCCTCGCCGGGAGAAGGCACCTTCAGAAGGAAGTGCCATGGAGGCGGGACCAGCAGGTTGCCCTTTCGGGAGAACTACGTTCCGTGGCGGAGGGACACGCTATACCAAAATTACACAGTAGTATTTTAGTAGCCAATGGGAAAGTAGCGAGGCCACAGGACCCGCCCTCGGGTCCTCGGACATCTCCCTCCTCCCGCAGACCCCCGGGCGCTGGGGCCACCTGTTGCGGCCCGACTTGGGCGGCTGGTTGGGGCTCCCTTTTGGGCCCCCAGCTGCCTCCGACTTACCAGGATGGTGCCCAGATTTATAAGTCCGCAGGCTGCATTCCTCCAGCCCCGCCCTGAGACTCCCCACCCTCCCGATGTCCGCCCCTGTGCACCCTCCGAGGCTGATGGGAACGGGAAGTTGGAGAGAGCTGGTAGCCCTGGATCTTTGAAGGCCTGATCTGCCTTCTGAAGGGCTCCAGCTTTAGAGCTGGGATAGGGAGAACTTGGGAGAGTGTGCCTAGAGTAGGGCACGACCTCGGGACAGGCTGAGGCCACGATAACTTTTAGTAGGGTTTAGAAGCCTGCAGAGGAAGTGCTTGGGAGTAAAACAGGAATCAAAGGCTTAGTGCAGAATTGACCATCCCAAAATTAAGTCAGAACCTTAGCCAAAAATCTATGACGGAGTCAACACTGGTTTTCAACACAGTCGGGTATTAAAATCTGTACGATTGGAACCATCCTTAACAGTGTTCCAAAGGCATTTTAGGGCCTGTGTAGTGATCAGCTAGGTGAATCCGTTAATACCTGCCTTCATTCTGCCAAGTTTTGAAAGCAGCTATATTGTTGCCATATTCAAAATATGAAGACTGTCTCTTAGTTTCTTTTTTCCTGGAAAATGTTGGGCGTGACCAGCTCAGACACCTTGTTTGAAGCTGAATCATAGGCTTTCAATTTCACTTCCTGTCAGCTTGGAGAGGGGAGGGAGAAAGTGATAACTTAAAAGTAAATTTGCTTGTAGTGAAGTACAGTTTTTTTTATTTCTTCTGTAAGCCTTTTCTGGTGCTCTTAGTTTGGGGTAGGAAGTAAATGCGTGGTTATTAATGTGCTGAAAGAACCTGAACTTGGAAGAAAAAGCCACCTCCATGGGGAGAATCAGAGTCCTTTCTGTTCAGAGAAAGAGGGATGGCAGAGATGACCCTCTCTGGCTCCTGGGCTGACACTAAGTCCAGTGGTGGACAACACAGTGACAGCAACCTAACCAGTGCTGGAGCCTTTGATTCGTGTTCTACTCCCAGGTACTTCAAAGTTTTAAATCTAACTGGGAGCTGGGCATAGTGGTTCACACTTGTAATCCCAATACTCAGGGAGGTTGAAGCAGGAGGAATTTGCTGAGTCCAAGGTCAGCCGGAGCTACACAGTGAGCTCTAGTAATATGGAAATATACAAAACAACAAAAACTTAGATACAACTGCTGGGTGTGCCCAAAGTCTGTAATCCCAACATTTGGGAAGCTGAGGCAGGATCAGGGGCTAGTCTGGGCTATAGGTGAGACTGTCTGAAAGCGGGGGAAAATCTACGTATGTTCTCAAGAGTCATATGTACATACATGAAACTGGTGGCAGTTAAAGTGCCCTTCATCTGCAAAATTTGATTATCTCAGTTATAAAATGCTGTCCATGAGACTGGCAAAGATCCACCATATCCCTATTCATATTAGATGTACAATGAAAATATGTCACATTGCCTTTCTAATGGTGACTTAGTTTTGCTGAGAAGTCAGTATAAAAGTGAGGTTATATCTTATCTTTGTTCGATTCCTAATCACTAGCTCTATGACTATATCCTGCAATTTAACATTTACAGTCCATTAAAAGTAAAAGTAAATTGAGGACAATCCCTATTTCATAGGGTGGAGTTTGATCAGATGATTATATGTGAGTTCAACCCAGTGTCCAATAGGTATCTTCTTCCTTTAGTAATTGACTGGTCTTAGCTTTCTGGTGACCAGTGCAGAACATCTTTCTGAATTCAGGCTGGCCCTTCTCTGAGCCATTCCTCTGAATCATCACTCCTTTGATTCATACCAAACCCAGAATTACAGGAAACCAAGGCTGAAGGACATAGGCCCCTCACTCAGCCTGAAGTTAGCCCTTCCTCACTGACTTGGTAAGGATGGGAGAGGGAACTGCTAGACCCGCTACACTGCAGATTCTTGGCCAAAGGACCAGAGAATCTGGTTTACTGACTTAAACGTTCTCCAGAGTTCAGTGGGAGTTCTTTAGGGGGAGTATGTCAGCAAGTCATGCTGTACTCAATCCTAAAGCCCCAAATAAGCTTTGGCCCTGGTGAAATGGAGATACTACAAGCTGTCCTGTAGATCGTTAAGACCTCTTAGTTTCTAGAAAAGGCAGTGTTATTTCTCGGGATAAGACAGTCAGAGCAGCCAATAGATTCTGAACGTCAGGTTTAAACCAGAAAAACAACACTTCAGACCTCTCTCACATGTAGAACTACATGTGTTTGACATGTTTTGAGATCAGGTCTCACACTGTAGCCCAGACTGGCCTTAGACTCATGGCAATTCTCCTGCCTCAGCCTCCCAAGTTCTGGGATTACAGATGTGTACCACCATGCCAGGTAGGCCGTTTCATTCTGTCTTCAGACTTTCCCAGACATATTCAGGAAAGTGGGAAAGGGAAATCAAGGAAAACATTTGAGCTACATGTGGAAGGTTAGGTAGAGGAAGGTATGTGAGGGCCAGTTCAAGATGAAGTTCAGCATCTGGTAAATAGTTTAGTTTTGTTTTAATGCAATTGTGTATCTAGGGTTTCCCCAGGCCCTTGCAAAAATGCTGCATCACAAGAAGCAGGAGGCGATAAGCCTGAGGCATCCTTATTCATTCTGTGAAGGATTATTTTAGCTAAAGTAGCCTGTCACCCAATATGACCTCCAACTTCTCTCTAGCTCAGAGATGTTAGGATGCACTGGAAAAAGCTTTTTAGAGTGGTCTGAGCCTACCCATCAAACTGCTCTTTAGATGCCTTGTGCTCTCTTTTCTCCCTACAGTCCTAACTAAAGCTCTGGTTCCTTAGTATGAAAGTGGAAGAACATGTAGGACGTATCCCTCAAGAAATTTGTCTGGGTATGCTCTGTCAATTGCCATTCCAAGGAGAGGGCAGAGACTGAAGGATCTGACAGACACACAGGATGTGTCATGAGATCAGAGATGTGGTGACCGGGGGTAGGAGTGGGGGTCAGGAAATGTGGTGTCAAGATTTGGAAGACCAAGGAACAATGGATCAAGTGCCCTCCTCCAAAGAAATCCTCCTGCTGCAGTTCAGTCTGCCTTTTCCTTAGATACATTCTTCACCCATGTATCTGTCCTTGCACACTGGCTGCCAGCTACCTCATCCACTTACCTCAAGGACAACCGAGACTAAGGAGACCGTTGGTCCTCTCCTACACAAAATGGAATATCTGGCCCCATGTTGTGGATGTGGTGGAGTATTCTGAAATTCAATTTGTGCAAAGTCCTAGGCTCCAGAGGCCAATGCTTCTTCAACTGAACTGAAGGACTCCAGCAGAATTGTGTGACCTATGAAATTTCCTCCCTACCACCTGCAAGAAGCCAAGATAGTCCCAGACTTCCATCCAGAAAAATCCTATGAGAAGCTGGTAAGAAACACAGTAATGACTCAGCACCAGATTCCTCTTTCCTCTTCCCAAAATGAAAGGCAGAGCAGGCTCCTCCCCAACGGATGGCCACTTCCTCACCACAAACTGAGTCATGGCCACACCCAGCCTGTATGGAAAATTACCAGGAAAGGAGGGAAGGTTAATAAACTCAAGGAGTTTTGAGTTCTGAATCCAAAATCTCAACTGTATACTATCTGGAATAGAGGAAATTGTTCCTTTTTCTGACCCTATCCCTAACCAAACATATTGTGGTCTAAATAAGATGAGATTACTTGAAATAGGCTGTCACAGGTATGTGCAGAAAGGGCCTTGGTCTCTGTGAGGAACACTTATTTTGTAGCTTACACCTGGTCCAGACCCCAATTCTCCCATCTCCAAAGTTTCCAGGCCCTCAATTCTCCCCAAGCTTTAGGACTCTGCCAGAAATTCAGGCCCTACCAAGCAAAGTTCCCTTGCAATGAAGGCATGCTTGTGTCACAAGGTTTTTCTAATTTGGTTGGTGTGTTTTTTTGTTTGTTTTTTGAGACAGGATCTCCCAGAGATCCACTTGCCTCTAACTCCTGAGTGCTGGGATTACAAGTGTGCATCACCATGCCTGGCTGTTTTTTTTTTTTTTTTAAAATAGTGCTGAGGACTGAACCTAGAGCTTTGTTCAAGGTAAAGGTGCTACCATTGAGCTATATCCCCTGCTTTGGGAAGGCATTCTTGGTTTGTGGGGCTTTGATCAGAATTGGTTTTAATTCATACATGCTTTGAATTTTATCTGTGGCTTATGAACTTCTCAGATTAGCTTTTCAGTAGAGCACTATAAAATGATACATGCCATTTTACTGGTATAAAAAACTGGGGGCTAGAGAAGGGACTCACTAGTTAAGAGCACTTGTTCTTTCAGAGGACCCAAGTTCGGTTTTCAGCACCCACCTCAGGTGGCTCACAACTGCCTGTAACTCCAGCTCTAGGAGATCCAATACCCTCGTCTAGGCTCTGAGGGCACCCTGCACACAGACACATACACATATTTTTATGTGAATGAGTATATTGCCTGCATGTAAGTGCACCCATGTCGTGCAGTGCTCATGGAGATCAGAAGGCATGGGATTCCCCTGGAACTGGAGTTACAGATGGTTGTTAGCCATCATGTGGGTGCTGGGAATCAAACCCAGGTCCTCTGCAAGAGCAGTAGGTGCTTTTAACCTACTGAGCCATCTCTCCAGCCCCATAATTAATTTTTTTTTTTTTGTCTTTTTGAGACAGGGTCTCACTGTAGCCCCAGCTGACCTGGAATTAGCTATGTAGACCAGATTGGCCTTGAACTCACAGAGATCCCCCTGCCCCTGCCTCCCAAATGCTGGGACTAAAGGGGTGTGCCACCACGCCCAGCCCCCATAAATATTTTTAAAAAGATATTTTTATCTATTTATTATATTTTTAAACTTTATGTGTATTCATGTATTGTCTGCATGTAGGTAAGTGCACCAGTGACGTGCAATACCTGTGGAGGTCAGAAGAGGCTGTCGGATCCCCTGGGACTGGAGTTAAGGACACTTGTTAGCTGCCATGTGGGTGCTGGGATTCGAACCCGGGATTTCTGCAAGAACAACCAGTGTTCTTAACCGCTGAGCCATCTCTCCAACCCCTATTATTTTTATTTCATGTGTATGAGTGTATTGTCTACGTGTGTAAGTGCACCCATGTTGTGCAATGACCTCGGAGTAAGAAGAGGGTGTCTGATCCCCTGGAACTGGAGTCATGAATGTTTAGCCGCCATGTGGGTGCTGGGAATTGAACCCAGGTCCTCTGCAAGAGCAGTCACTGAGTCCTCTCTCCAGCCCCAGAAAAAAAAAAAAAAATCAACACACACATCATACTGTGATATTTTTAAAAGGCTGACATCACAAGGATAGTTCAGCTAGCTGAGCTTCTCAGGGAATATACACAACTTTTTCACTGCCTCTCATTCCATCATTTGCTCGTATTTTCCATGGCAGGTGCTGAAATGCTTACAAATAGGAAAATTTTACTAACAATTTTCTGAAATTGCCAAAAATGTATTATACCATGTGAGCAGCCACACACCTAGGTCCAGCTGGAACACCAGTGTGAGCTGACTGGGAGCCTACAGGGATGTAAGAGTGGTTAGGAGCTCAAGTTCTGGAGTTGGAAGATCTGGTTAAAAATCCACATTCTCACTAGCTAGCTGTGAAACCTTAAGACATATTTAGGATGTTTAAGTGAGGCAATATAGAATAGAACCAGAACATGAATTCAGCAGTCAGGTTGCTACAACTAGCTGTGCAATATGGCAAATTACCTAGCCTCTAAGATTATTTTCTCATCTACAAAATACGAGTAGTAACACCTATTTCATAGGCTTTTGTGAGAATTATGAGTCAATATATGTAGACAGCTTACAACACCATAGTAAAGTATTAGCAAATTATTAAGGAGCTTAGCACACTACCCAGAAATTCCCTCATAAGAATTATGTTAGCTGTTTCTCATGTCTGTAGTATGGGTTACAAAAGTCTTCCCAGGAGGCAGGATTTTCAGTTTCAGTGGGTTCACTGGATAGGGTTATTTACTTGGTGGACAGCTTAGGCCTATGCCTTAGGAGACTTGTATTAGAACATGCTAGTCATTTTCTTTTTGAGATGAGAATCTTGCCAGGTTGTCCAGGCTGGTCTTAAAATCCTGTGCTCAAGTGATCCTCCTGCCTTAGCCCCCGGAAGACAAGCTGGACTAGAAATGTACACTTCAGTTTCCAGTTATAATGTACAGTTAAGAAGGGCTTGTAAAAGCAATGAATTAGGTTTCTGTGGGGATGGACCTTTAAGAGTTGTACGCCCATTTTCAAAAAATTCAGGAACTACAAAACAAAGTAAAATATAGGTAAGATGGTAACCCTAAAGTACAAAGAAGATAATGAAAAACAATGGCCAGTCCAGAGCAGGCTTTGGAAATCAGCAACTGTAGAATTTAAAATCCTATCCTTGAAAAGCTGATTTTTAAAAATGCTTTGTGGTATCTTCTATGCTCATATCTCTAATTTTATTATTATTATTATTATTATTATTATTATTATTATTATTATTATTATTATTATTTTTGGTCTTTTTGAGCAGGGTCTCCCTGTAGCCCCAGCTGTCCTGCAACTCACTATGTAGACCAGGCTGGCCTTGAACTTACAGAGATCCACCTGCCTCTGCCTCCTGAGTGCTGGGATTAAAGGCGTGAGCCACCACTCCTGGCCTCTAATTTTCTTTATTAATACTGCATAAATATTTGGAAATGTTCAACATGTCTCAACTATGCTTGGAATTAACTAAATGTTATGGGTACATGGAACATACCCTGAAAGGCCAAAAGCCTCCTTTGTAAGACAAAATCCAAATTCTCTAAGATTAGCAACTGTTCATGGCAGTGGTTTCAGAACACCTACCTGTTTCAGTGAGTGCCAGCTTCTCCCTATTGAGATTCCCACTGCAAACCTTGCAACCCTCATCCCCACCCCTTAGACTAAGTAAGCACTATCTCAGTGAATTATAACCACAGCCCTAGGCTAGCCTTTTTCTAAGGACTTCAAATTGGAAACCAACTTAACTTCCTGCACTTGCTAATAATCCCCTCACCTCACTTATCCCAAAAAGCAGACAGAAGAAAAAGAATAGGGGCCAGCCTCTGAGACACAGAGCAAGGTGACTGACAGGGCTGGTTTTGTGCAGAAAGCAGTTGTTCTTAAGGATAGAAAAATCAAAGCTACTCTGGCATCAAAGGCCATTTTAAGTCTTGACTAACAGTCATTAGTCATATTCTGTCTCATCTGCATAACTGATAAATTTCCCTTTATTGAACTTTTAAATTAAAAATACTGACGGATCTATAGAATACAAAACACACACCAGCTTTTGCTCCACAAAATACAAATAGTACCAACTCTCAGGATATTCCAATCCCACATCACAACCCCTATATGGGCCTTGCAGTAGGTGATGGGCCAAGGCTAGTCAGACCACAGTGATCATATCCAGTCCACAGCACCTTCCATTTTATTGTTTTATTTACAAACAGGGTGAAGTCAACTGGGCAAATCAGGGGTGGGAGTCTGTCAGGGCCATCCGAGTGTGGAGTGGTTCCTGGGTCAATCTCCACCATGAAGGCCGCCTTTTCTATCCTTTTCCTGCCCCTTGGTAAAGGCCCCTTGTTCCTCAGGGCAGCCTCACCTGCTGCTCCTGAGCCCTTTTATGAGGGCAGATGGATCCTGGGGGAACAGGGTGGTACGAGGGCTGGGGCCCCCTCAGTTTGTGTAAACCTGAGTTCCGATCACACGCATGATTTCCTTCTGTATCTTGGGGTCCTGAGTATTAATGTTGGCATCGCCCACCTGACCATCCTCATATCTGCCAAAGACAGGGTAAGTGTGAGCATAAGAGGAAGAATAAACCAGAATATCAAACAGTGGAATTGTATTTCAAGATGTGACCATCTCATCCCCAAAGTCAAAGCTTTTGGACACTACTCTACAGGATGAAAGAGATTTAGTTCACTAGGTTTCCTCTAAACAGACCCCACTGGTATCTTATCATCCCCAAAGGAAAAGTCCCAATGCCAGCCATTAAACAGCAAAGGCCAGGTCTCCAACAACAAAAATAGACATCTTCAGTAGTCACACACCATACCATAACCACCCTCATACCCCAAGAACTTCCAAGGGTTTCTATTAAACTTACACAAAGAAGAACCTTGTGCAGACATGGTCGGATACAGGGCACACCCAAATGTTCCCATGTTTCTGGAGGTCCTTAGATGTGATCACTGGGAGGAGAAGGGCCAGAAGTCACAGATACAATGCTTAAGACACAGTCTGGGCAGGGGAACGAAGATATGATCCTTCAACATAACTTTTGGCTGGATAACATGCCAATAAAGGTTGGGGGTCCCAAGAAGAATTGAGTGAGTTACATACCTTCACAAAGTGCTATACAGTTTAGATTCCGACTCTGCAGGAACCTTGACTGAATGGATCTGGTCTGAAAAATAAGGAAGCAAAGGAGAGCAGAGCAAGGTAAAATGTTAGGGCTTTCTCTAAAGAGGCTTGTTAGCTACAAATGACAGGAATAGGAATTGGGTATCAGGAGCTACCAACTACCCTCTAAGTCTACCTATACATAATCAGCCTGATGGGCCAACGAATAGCTTCCATGTTTACATTTTCATCTAAATTCAGCCTTTGCTTTCATACTTATCACAGAGACAAAACTCCAGCAGTGTGATCATCTTATGACGTAACTGATACCTTTATATGACCTACAGTTCCACTGTTTCTCCATCCATCTTTGTAGTCAAAGCCAGCCTCCAGAAGGATCTTAACTCAGGGTGGGGCCAACAAAAATATACCTGGGGGATGGTATTCATCCTGTTATATCTCTGGACCAGCTCATCCTTGGAAGGCATCCTGTGCTGTCCTTTTCCCATTCCTGTCATGGAACAATAAAATCAATTCATCTGTTCATTTCTTAAAATATTCAAGTACTTACTATGTACCATATATCAGCTAGAGAGACTTGGCAATATACTGGTGAATAAAACAAGATATTTGCCTACACCAAATTTAGTCTGGTGGAGATTACAGGCAAGGAACAAGTCATTACAACACAGTATGGTAAGGGTTGTGATAGGGAGATTACAGAGCACTCTGTGAACCACAGACAGGAACTAGCCTAGCCCCAGAGGTCTGAAGATGTCCTGATGCACCAAGACTCAGAACCTCAGGATTAGGAAGAGTTAGTGGAAAAGCCTGAGGACAGATAGCCATATAACTTAATTTGCATCGAGTATAATGAACGGCAAAAGAATGGCAAGAAATTATGCAGAAGATGTAAAAGAGGGTCAGATCAAGCAGGCTTCACAGGCTGTTAAAGCAACAGTTTATCCTAAGAACATCAGGGGACTACTAAAGGCTCTAGCATAGGGAAGTAACACATGACACAAGCCAGGAAAGAGGGGCTCAGGAAGGAGGACACCAACATCTCAGAGTCAAATGACAAGACAAGAGACATGAGTAGAAAGCAAGCAAGCAGAGGAAGTTCAAGATGCTATAGTTTTGAAGTATCATTGAAAGACAGACCATTTACTCAGGAAAAAGGAGAAAGCAGAGCCATTCCATAATGAGTAATTCTCCACAAGTAATCACAATGGTAACTACCTTAAGGAATCCTACCATTAGAATCTTCCCAGACTCCAGAAAAAAAAAATTTTCCTTCTAGTTTCTACATTATCTAAGTGCATAAGCTCTTTACCATTCTTAACCTATAATGGAGAGGTCTTGTTTGCATAAACTGAAGTAAGGATTTTTTTTAGATATGAAATAGTACCAATGTGTCCCTACTCCCAATTCTTTCAGGCCTGAGGACAGGACTACAGTCTCTGTGTTCAGGATTATCCTAAACCCAGTCTTATCACTTTAGGATAAGAGAGAATGTGTGTGTGTATATGACTGAGAGAGATGGATAAACATGAAAATGATGTATCATTACAGTCTATAAGCAGGACTCCAATCTCACCATTATACTCCAGAACCTTCTATTATAACTCCACTCTACTTCAATTCTTCATTTTGTCATTGGAAAATTTTTAATGTTTTCACTTAATTTTTTGAGTATGAATGTTTTGCCAGCATGTACTTTAAGAGCACCCGTGTTGTGCAATGGCCATGGGGATCAGAAGAGAGCATCAGATCTCTAGGAACTGAAGTTACAGTTGTTAGCTACCATGTGAGTGCTAACAACTTGGGTCCTCTTAAAGAACAGCCAATGCTCTTAACCACTGAGCCATCTCTCCAGCCCCTAATATTTTATTCATCACTATTATGATGTAGGTCTAAATGCAGACGTGCAGGCACACGTGGTACAGTGTGCACATGGAGATCAGAGGACAACTTTCAAGAGTTGGTTCTCTTCTTCTACTCAGGGTTTCAGGCATTGAACTCAGATCAGGCTTAGCAAGCACTTTAACCCACTGAGCCATCTCAACAGCTAATTCTTGGTTTTGTGATAGCCATGATGTGGAGGTGGGAGGTGGGAGTAATTGAACTGAAATTGTTCACTAAGCAGGCTGCCAACTCACCATGCACTCATACTGAAGTCTCATGATTCATGGTCTAAGCAAAACTCAGTTGAACTGACAATTCTTTCCTTCTGCAGGACAAACATTAATCAGTCTTCTATTTCTACCTTCCCCATTTTCCTTAATAAGGCTGAGCTCTGCATCCAAAGATTGTGATCTCAGCTCAGATAGTTCAATGAAAAAATCCCAAGAAATTCCCATTTAGGTTTTACTTAAGAGAAGCAATTGGGAGGATGAGAAAGAACAATTTGACTTCTGTGATGAGTCTTGGAGGTGGCACTTATAACCTAACCAAAATCTTGTCCTATCTCATTCCTGTTGCACTGTTCTATTCATACTGACCCAGTGACTTTTCTATTCCTGTCCTGCAGCTAGACTCTGAGAGCTTGGTGGTTAGAATAATCTCTTGATACTTTGTGTCCAGAATTAATCCCTAAACAGGACTAAACAAATTTACCAATGCCATTCATTGTCCCTCATTTTTTCTGGCACATATGGCCAAGTTATCAGCAGGTCCATTGGTCAGATCAATGATCTACTGTTCATACTGATCCCCACTCAGAAAACACACCCAATGCCGCCAACCCAAGGGTACCTCCGCTTGTCAGTCCAATCTAATGATTGAAACAATGGCCTAGAAGTTAGGAGATGTAGATTCCAGTCCTATCTCTGCTACTCATAGCTGTGTGAAGAATAATTTAGCTTTTCTGTGTATCAGCTTCCCTATCTAAATAAGGAACTGGACTAGAAGATCAGTAACTCCAATAGTAAACTCCTATTAAAATCCTATTCTTAGGCCAGGTGGTGGTGTATGCATTTAAACCTAGCACTCGGGAGGCAGAGGCAGGTGGATCTCTGGGTCTATATAGGAAGTTCCAGGCCAGTCACAGCTATGGTAAGACCCTGTCTCAAAAAAAAAAACAAAAACAAAAACAAAAACCCAAAACCAAAACCAAAATTCTATGGTAGTCTGGATCTGTAATACTGATAATTCTAACAGTAAAAACTTATGATAATTTAAAGAGGTCAGTGTGGTATGTTTTTATGCAATCAGTAAATTGTTAAGGCAGACACAGCCTTTAAAAATTACCTATTCCATCTGGCAATTAAAGGTATTCAGGCACTGTTTAAAAAAAAAAAAAAAAAAGTTCCAGGTCAGCTAGGGCTATAGGGAGACCCTGTCTCAGATTAAAAAAGGAGGTGGTACACACCTTTAATCCCAGCACTCAGGAGGCAGAGGCAGAGGCAGGCAGATCTCTGTGAGTTCAAGGCCAGCCTGGTCTACATAGTGAGTTCCAGGACAGCTGGGGCTACAGGGAGACCCTGTCTCAAAGACCAAAAAAAAAAAGGAGGTGGGGTAGAGATGGCTCAGTGGTTAAGAATACTGCTCTGGCAGAGGACCCAGGGTTGATTCCCAGCACCCATATGACAGCTAACAACCATCTCTAACTCCAGTTTCAGAGAATCTGATACCCTCTTCTGACTTCCATGGGCACTGCACAGCATAGGTAGGTACACTGACATACATGCAGGAAATACACTCATACACAAAAATGAAATTTTTTTTTTAAAAGTCTAGTAGGGGTAAAAAGGGAAAGAGGAGAATCTGATTACTTGGAGAATAATAAGAGTTCAATCAGAGGTTTCTCAGGCTGGAACAAAGATAAAAAAGGAGGAGCCATGATGAAGCCAAAAGATTATCTCAACCCCACCTCCCACTTTGGATCCAAAACACAATGTAGGATTCATTCACACATTCAGTATGTGTTGGGCACTTACCTATGTAAGCCAATCATGTTTACTTTAAGGCATTTTAACTCTAAGTGACTTATTTATTTAAGAATAACCGCTACCCTGAAACTTAAGTTACATTTATTTTGCAGTTTTGGGAATTAAATCTAGAGCCTAATACATGTTAGGCAAGTGTTCTAGCCCAGAGTTATTATTCCTTTGTATTTTATTTTTATGTTCTTTTATCACAGTACTTTTGTGTTCAATTTTGTCTACCTTTGCAATATAAAAATGCATACTACATGTAGCCTTCTGGGGTTTTGCCTATTTTTTAGTTTATTTTGTGTTTGAGCGTGAGTGTGTGCAAGACACTGTGTGAAGGCCAGAAGACAACTTTTAGGAGTCAGTTCTCACCTCCACTTTGTGATGGCAGTTCCTCTTGTTTCCGCTATAGTTGGCCCTCAAGCTCTCTGGCAACTCTCCTGTTTCCACTACCCATCTCTCCATGGGAATCCTGGGATTATAGATGTGTGCCACCGAATGCAATTTTGTTGTTTTTGTTTTGGTATTTTTTTGGTTTTTTTGAGATAGGATATCCCTGTAGCCCCACCTACCTCTACCTCCTGAGTGCTCGGATTAAAGGAGTGCACCACTATGCCTGGCCTCAGAATGTAACTTTTTTTTTTTTGGTCTTTTTTGAGACAAGGTCTCCCTGTAGCCCCAGCTGGCCTGGAAGTCACTATGTAGACCAGGCTGGCCTTGAACTCAGAGATCTGCCTGCTTCTGCCTCTCCAGTGCTGGGAGCAAAGGCGTGCACCACCATGCCTGGCAAACGCAGCTTTTTAAAATGTGGGTTCCAGATATCAAACTTGGGTCACCAGACTTGTGGGACCTGAACTTTTACCTACTGAGCCAAAACCTGACTTGCCTATTTTTGAATCCATATTACTAAGATTTTCTATGTTGTTAGATGCTGTTGATGTCATTCACTTTCATTGCTAAATACTTACCCAGTATGACTATGTAAAAATATATTTGTTGGTTATTCTGATGAGCATCTGAGCAGTGTGCAAGATCTGCTGATGCAGCAACAATCTTGCTATTTGTATTCCTGTACATGTCTGTGAGTTTGCATACAGAGGAATGAAAATGCTGGGTCAGAGATAGACTCTGTTGCTTTATAACATCACATTGTTTTCCAGGGCCAGATAGATGGTTCAGTGGGTAAACTGCTTACTGTCAAGCATGATGACCTGAGTTGGATCCCTGGAATTCACATGGTGGAAGGAGATAAATGACTCACCAAAGTTGTCCTCTGACAGCTACAAAAACACTATGGCATCCACATGCATCCCCCCCCCACATACACAATGAATGTAAAAAATTAGTTTTCCAAAATGGTTGTACCATTTATATACCTATAGATGATAAAAGATAACCTGATGACTTTTACAACCATTGGTAAAACCAGAGGTGGTTACTTTTTTTTTTTTTTTCGGTCTTTTTGAGACAGGGTCTCCCTATAGCCCCAGCTGTCCTGGAACTCACTATGTAGACCAGGCTGGCCTTGAACTCACAGGGACCCGCCTGCCTCTGCCTCCCGAGTGCTGGGATTAAAGGAGTGCGCCACCACGCCCGGCCAGATTTGTCAATCCACATAGATACTGTTCTAGTTTGTTCTTCATTGCTGTGACAAAATACTCTGACTACTCCCAACTTGGGGAGGAAAGGGTTTATTTAGCTTACATATCCCAGGTCACAGTTCATCCAGGAGCCCAAGGTAGGAACTCAGGGCAGGAACATGGAGGCAGGAGCTGGAGCACAGACCATGGAGGAATGCTGTGTTCTGGGTTGCGCCCCTGGCCCCTGTTCAGCCTGCTTTCTTATGCAACACAGGCCCACCTGCCCAGGGGTGGTGCCACCCACAGTGGCGGGTGCTCCCACATCACTCATCAAGAAGATGCCCCTCAGACATGGCCACAGGCCAGTCCAATAGAGGCAATTCCCCAATTGAGGCTCCCTCAACCCAGTTGTGTCAAGTTGACACTAAAGCTATCCAGCACAGATACTAAATAACCAGTCAGTCATGTTGGTCTTGATTTTAATTCCCTCTAGAGGTTAAGCAACTTTCTCTATTTAGGGGTCACTTCTTTTCAGTGACATGCCCATTTATATAATTTGCTTGGTATTTCAACAGGGTTATTTATAATTTTTTTTTTGGTCTTTTTGAGACAGGGTCTCCCTGTAGCCCCAGCTGTCCTGGAACTCACTATGTACATGAGGCTGGCCTTGAACTCACTGAGATCCGCCTATCTCTGCCTCCCAAGCGCTGGGATTAAAAGTGTGTGCCACCATGTCCGGCTTATAACTTTTAAAAATATTTTATTATTATTTTATGTGTATGAGTGTATTGCCTGCATGTATGTAAGTGCAACCGTGTCATGCAATGCTGCAGAGATCAGAAGAGGGCTTCGGATTCCCCTGGAACTGGAGATAAGGATGGTTCGTAGCTGCCATATGGGTGCTGGGAATCGAACCAGGGTCCTCTGCAAAAGCAGGCAGTGCTCTTAACTGCTGAGCCATCTCCCCAGCCCCCTTAACAGGCTTATTTATAATTTTTTATAGCCCTTGGGATTGAGTCCAGGGCTTGGTGCATGTTCTACCACTGAGCTATATTCCTAGTCATTCTTTGAAATTTTGAGATTTCTTCCTAAGTTGCCTATGCTACCCTTGAACTCGCTATAAAGTCCAGGAAGGCTGTGATCTTGTGAATCTCTTGCCTCAGCTTCCCAGATGGCTGGGATTACAAGAGTATGCCATCACACCTTGCTAAGAATCTTTATATTCTTTGTATATCATTTTATGTGCATGAGTGTTTTGGCTGCATGTAAAGTGTACCTGTGCATGCAATTCCCTCACAGGCCACAAGGTGGCATCATACCCACTAACTGGAGTTTTGTATGATTAGCCACCATATGGATGCTGAGAACCAAACCCAGGTCCTCTTCCAGAACAGCCAGTGCTCTGAAAGACTGAGCCATCTCTCCACCCCCATTTGTATATACCCTATGCCTTCTCTAAGTTTACAGCTTGTCTTTTCACCATCTTTAAGATATGTTCTGAGGCTGGGCATGGTGGTGCATGCCTTTGATCCCAGGCAGAGAGAGGTGGATTTCTAGGAGTTCAAGGCCAGCCCGGTCCACATAGTGAGTTCAGACCAGGTGGGGCTACAGGGGGACCCTGTCTGAAAAAAAAAAAAAAAAAAAGATATGTTCTGATAAATGGAGGTTTTAAGTTCCAATAAGAACTGCAAACATTTTTAAAATGCTTTACTATTGCACCTGTGGGCTAAATGCCTACAGAGGTCAGAAGAGGGCACTGGATCCCTTGAACTGTAGTTATGGATGATTGTTAGCCAAAATGTGAGAGAACCCTCTGCAAGAGCAGCCAGTGCTCTTAAGCATTGAGCCATCTCTCCATTCATGCAAAACTTTTATGATTAAATTTTCGTTTTTCCATTCTCTAGAAGAATTTATATGAGAATTTGTTCCAGGGCTGGAGTGATGGCTCAGTAGTTAAGAGCAGTGGCTATTTTTGCAGAAGATCTGGGTTCAAATCCAAGCACCAACATGGCAGCTAACAACTGTCAGTAACTCCAGTTCCAGGGCATCTGACACCCTCTTCTGACCTCTGTGGGCACTACATGACACAGGTGCACTTATACACATGCAGGCGTAACACTTGTACATACAAATATAAAAATAAATACAAAAAATTAAAATAATTTGCTCTTTGAAAGCTTAAGATTCATAACTGATAACTCATTTCATCAGCTAAGATAGCTTAACTATCAATGCTTCAAATCAAAGCCCCAAAATACTACATGAGCTTGAAGGTCTTTCAAGCTGGCCTTTCCAGGTTGGCCTTGATCTCATATAGATCTGCCTGCCTATGCCTCCTGAGTGCTGGGATTAAAGGTGTGGGTACCACACTACTCAGCTTTAATTTTTTTTTTGATTCAGGTTTCTTTTTTTTTTGGTTTTTTTTTTGAGACAAGGTCTCCCTGTAGCCCCAGCTGGCCTGGAACTCACTTTGTAGACCAGACTGGCCTCGAACTCACAGAGATTTGCCTGCCTCTGCCTCCCAAGTGCTGGGATCAAAAGTGTGTGCCACCATGCCTGGCTTTGATTCCGTTTTACTGTTACATTTTTCTAGGAGTTTTGTCTGAGAATTTCAGATTATTGGTATGATATTTACAGAGCTCACTTATCAGCTTTAAAAATTTTGGTACATCTGCAGCTATGCTGGCTTTTTTGTTCATATTTATGACCATTCTTCTTAATCTAACCAATATTTATCATTTTTTCAGTTCTTTTTTCCTCACTGCATATGTTAAGCATGCACTCTACTGCTGAGCTACACCCTAGTTTCCCCCATTTTGTTTGTTTTCGAAAACAGGGTTTCACTCTGTAGTCCAGAATGGCCTGGAACTTACTATGTAGTTCAGACTGACCTTGAACTCATGGTGGTCCTCCTGTCTGCCTCTTCAGTACTTGGAATTTACAGGAATAAGTTACCATACTCATCTTAAAATAATTCTCTTTTGGCTTTTTCAGTCCTACTCTACAGTACCTGAATTAATCAATTTCACATGCATACACAGTCTATAACTGCCCATATAGAAAATATGGTCTAAGCAGGGTATGATGGCGCATACTTTTAATCCTAGCACTCAGGAGGCAGAGGCAGGCAGATCTCTCTGAGATTAAGGTCAGCCTGGTCTTCATAGTGAGTTCCAGGCTAGTTAGGGCTACACAAAGACCCTGTCTCAAAAAGTCAATCTTGAACACATAGTAAGACCAGCATGGGCTACTTGAGACCTTGTCTCAAACAAAACAAAACAAAACAAAATGTAGTTTACAAAAAGCCTTTTTAAACTCCCTAGTTATTTATGAACACATTCCCAGGGTCTAATTCCTACAATGTATAAAACCACCATTTTTAACAATAACTGGCCTTGCCTCATAAAAAATTTAAATTTCCAATTAAAGAAAATAGAGACAGATTATGTATCCATGATTAAGGAGAGAGAGCTGACATAGACCAGGTATCTACAGTGGAAGAAGAGGAGACAGCACAGATCACATGTTCACAAATGGATGCAATATGAAAAGTTAAGGTGGCTAGAGAGTATTTCTTACCTGAGTATCCAAAGGAAATACTGGAGATGGGGCTCAGGTAGATGCCTTTGCCATAGGCTGCTCCATGCAGCTTGCAGGGAAACACCAGGATGAACATATGAGCCTGGGCCCTCCCATGGCTGTATATTAGGCATCCACAAGGCTTATACAGTCCTCAGGCCCTCCATTTATCTACTTTCTCACTCATGCAAATTAACTCTAGATACCTATTTTTGAAAATCTGACTGACTGAAAGTGGATTCAGGCTAAACTACTTGCTTATCAAATACTGGCTAGAGATACTAGCTATTAATGCCTTAGAGAGTGGGGAATGGTGGACCCACTGACTCACTGCTTCAGCACTCATACTTCTGACATGAGGACTTGATACCTTTTCAGATTCCGAAACAAAGGAACTATGGAAGAGGTAGCTAGGAAGAGGAACAAAAATGACTCCCTACAGTTTCTTTATAACAACTCTGTGAATAGCCTCAAAATGAAAATGCTCTATCATTACAATAGGTTAATTCATCACAATGGCTACAATCAGGAATTCCACATTCCTGCCTATAAGTACATTCCCATTCCCGGAACTACCAAAAAAACACAGCCCAATTACAAATGCACAACACCCATATTCATTCTCTATATACAAGTCCATCTCTCTTTTTAGGGATGCTCTGAAGACATAATAGGTATGAGGATGCTAGGCACAGCTACTCAAGTACTTTAGAGCAGACTCCCCCAAAACTGAGTGGGGCAGGGTATGGAAACAAAGGAGAAAGGGACACAGTCTCACCTGTAGTTTGGTGTAGGATGCATTGACCAGCCCATTGCGCAGGATTGAATGCCAGTTCTCAATGTGGGACCCACTGTAAGGCAGGGCAGAATACTTGTCTCCTCATGGTATAAGATTCCCAGGAGTATACTTCCAAGACTACCATTCCCACCCTCCTTACACAGGACATGCCTATAGATAGGCACATACACCTAATGGTAGAAATGCTCATGGATGTAGTCACAGGTGTGACTATGTGGTTAAACTCTGTAGCTTCATTTGTAGTACAATCCTCTCTTCTCTCATTCAGCTCATCACATCCTAAACCCTCAACTATTGGTTCAGTATTATCATTTGCCTGTTTTCATGGTATTTCAAATTCAACAAATTCATCTCAAATTTAACACTGGTTTATCACTGGTCTCAAATACGGCTTCTAGTTAAAAGATCACATTGTATTTTAAGAAAAAAGTATTAACACTCCCTCTAAGTTACCTTTACTACAATTAGACATCAATTGTAGATTTCCTTCCAAATCCTTTCCCTTCAAATTTGTTCCTGCAACTGTACCTTTTTACATGTAAATATTATTTCCATTCAACTGCATCATTAGCAGTTTAAGAAAAAGACCATGTCATATGTATCTGTTTACCCTCTACAGTACTTACAACAGTATTTAATAAATATGTGTTCGTTAGCTGGTAAACACAGGTAAAACAAGCTCATACTCCTCAAGGTCCCCCTACCCCACTCCCACCCACTGCCGGCCCGTTCACCACCCTCCTCACTGGAAGGCAAAGGTGCTTCCGTAGAGCTTCTTGGCGGTCCGGAACCGAGCCTCCTTGGCAGGAGGGCTGCTCAGCAGGAGGAACTGGTGTGAGGTGTGCATGAACTTCAGCTGCTGCCCAGGGTGGGGTGTGATCAGGAAAAGAGAATAGAAATAGAGATCAGGGAGGGAAAGGCTGGGAACAAGGAAGAAAACGGATTTGCACTAACTTTGAACAAGGGAAATATGCTTAAGACCAAAGAGCATAGTTGATAGTGTCAACTAAGCTAATCTGGGACCAATATAGTTAGCTAGCTTGGCATCCCTCCTTGTCTGAAGGACAGAGAGAGAATAATCACTTACCCTGCTGAGAGGTAGTTTGACAATGTGTGACCTGTTGCTAGAGATGATCCTGGGAAGAAGAGAAGAAAAGGACAGAATAAGGCTATTTCTCTTTCCTGAGAAAGCACCTTTCCTCTAATTCTGGGACAGCAAATAAGATTCCAAAGTTTGAATGGTGTGATTATGTGCAGGTCACAGCTAGATATTCCTTTTAAGTGGTAATGCTTAAAAGTGGTAATGTATGTAAAGTTTTGTTTTGTTTTTCTTGTAACAGGGTCTCCCTGTAGCCTCAACTAGCCTGGAACTCACTATGGAGACCAGGCTGGTCTCAATCTCAGAGAGATCCGCCTGCCTCTGTGCCTCCTGAGTGCTGGAATTAAAAGCATGTGCCACCACACCCAGTATGTGTGTGAAGATTTAAAGGGAAGCTACTGACCACAGACCAGGTAAGTATTGAGTAGAAAGAGTACATGAAGTTATCAAAAAAAAAAAAAAAAAAAAAAAAAGTGATGGGGAGATATGGGAGAAGTTGGATGGGAAGGAGTGAGCATGGATTTGATCAAAACACCTTATATGCATGTGTGAAATTCTCAATAAATTATTTTTTTTTAAAATAAAAAAACAGAAAGGAGAGCTCTAAATCAGGAATGGTTAAACTTGTACCTGGGATTTAGAATCTCAGAATGGAGGCTCAGGAGTCATCCTGCATGAATTCCAAGAAGTCTAAAGGCTCTCAGGGATGGCAAAAAATAGAAAGATACTATATAGGTTGGACAAAAATAGAAGAAACTAGAATGAACTTTCTGAGAAGTCAAGGACAAACCAACCTGTATAAAGGCTAAACACTGAGGATAGGAGAAAGCAAAGGCTTATCACTGAAGGTTCAGCAAGAGGGTACTACCTTCTACAGTGGGTTCGATTTGTTTTCGGTGCCTTCTCCATGTATTTACTTTATTGCTGTTCTTTTTAATGTTTTGTATGTATATGCAGGTATATCTGCATGCACATGTATATGTGTAGGCCAAAGGTCAAACTTGGGTATTTTTCCTTAAGTGCTGTTCACCTTGTTTTTTGAGAGAGGAGTCTCTCATTGGGACCCGAGGCTCACCAAATAGACTACTCTGGCTAGCCAGTGAACCCCCAGAATCCATCTATCTCTGCCTCTCCAGTGCTGGGATTTTAAGTGCATGCCATTATGTCTGGCTTTTTTTTTCTTTTAATGAGTGCTGGAGATGAAACTGAAGTCCTCATGTGAGCAAGCAATCACTTCACCAACGAAGCGATCTCCCCAGGCCCTCATCTATGTACTTATGATTCCTCCTAGGATGGAGGAATCTATTGCACTAGCTTCTTGGTGTCAAAGGCTGACTTAGAAGAAGGAGGCAAATCAGAAACAAAACCAGTCAGGAAAAACAGAAGAGAAGTCAGCAGAAAAAAAAAGAGGAATAGGAACAGTCAAAATCGTGCCTTGGGCTCTAGACTTTCCTTGTCAGGGAAGGCCCCGGGACTGGAAAAGAGATAACAAGCAGAGATAGATTCCCCTAAATACACAGAAAACAATGTTGAAATGAATTTTGATAAGAGAACCTCAAAACCTACTGATAGTGACTATAGTCACCAAAAAGTTAATAATGTTAAACTTTTGAAAACTGCTGGGCCAGGCATGGTGGCTCATGCCTATAATCCTAGTACTCAAGAGGCCAAGGCAGGAAGATTGTCATGAGTTTCAGGCCATCCTTGGCTATAGAGTGTAACACTACCTCAAAAATATTTTCATTTTATTTTATGTTTATGAGTGTACTGCCTGCATGTATGTAAATGCACCAGGGTGGTGCCATGACTGTGGAGGTCAGAAGGCATTGAATCCCCCTGAAACTGGAGGTATAGATGGTCGTTAACCATCATGTGGGTGCTGGGAACAGAACCTGGGTCCTCTGCAAGAGTGGCCAATGCTCATAACTGCTAAGCCATCTCTCAAAACCAGTTTTTAAAAAAGAGAGAGAAGGGTGTGGTGGTGCACCCCTGTTTGGGAGGCAGAGGCAGGCAGAGCTCTGTGAGTTCAAGGTCATCCTGGTCTACACAGTGAGTTCCAGGTCAGCTGAGGCTACAAGGAGATCCTGTTTCAAAAAGACCAAAAAAAAAAAAAAGAAAATTGTTGCTGACTTTTCACCACATATTTTTTATGCATACATTTTAAATGGCAATAAATAATTTAAAAATGAAACATTTGAGGAAACACGTAATACTTAAGGAGAACTTGAGAAATCATGTCAGAATTTGTGAGTGCTCTGTAGGATTTGAGTTATTGTCAGGGCAAGGTATGTCAACAGAATAAGAAAAAGCAATCATCCTATTTAATCCTGAGAATAATGCTGAAACTGCCTCTAAGAAGTGGAGATCCCATGCCCTGTTCCTTCCTCCTGCCCCAACACCCAGTGAAGCCTCAGCCATTCATTCTATCCATACCACTGCAGAAGAGGATGGGCCAAGGGATCCAGCTTGTCCATCTGCTTCTTGATTTCCAAATATGAGCCCTGTAAGACAACGACCATAAAGTTATCTTCTAGGAGAGGAGGAACCCCTCCCACTTTCTACAGACTACAGGGGCCCAGGGCAAGATGGTATTAAAGGCCTTTGGAAAAAAAGAGGACAACAGGGTTCCCACCCTTAAAGAATCCCAGTCAGGTTGTGACGATTCATAAATATGGAAATGACTGAAAGGATGCTTACAAGACAACGTGCAGGTGGGTCTCCCTCATTTTATGCAATTCCTACAGCCCTAAAACATTGTTTATAAATTAAAAGATAAATAAAATCAATGTCCCAGAAAGATTATGCTAAAGAATCCTGTGGCAAATCTTCACACAAAACAGAGTCCTTGTGGAAAGTAAATCATCCCTTCTAGGTATACCTTCTGTGTTAATCTGCAATGTGATATATAGGATTTGCTGAGAAGAGGCCCACCTGTAAATGTGAGTACAAATGAATGTCTATTCATGCAGAGACTGCAGACGAGGGGTGGGGAAATCTGGTGAGGGACAGCCTTGAGTCAAAGGATGGTCACTGCTCCGTGTGGCTGCCCCACCCCTAGAAGGACAGAAGATGCAGGCCCCTGGATCTAGATCCTTATCTCCAAGCCTCCCTCCTCACCCTCCCAACCTTAGACAGAGGTCTTTCCCTCACTTCTCTAAGAATGATGGAAAAACATTAAATATGAAGTACTTGTGAAGGAATTCACAGCAAACAATGGTTAAGATACCACAGGGGTGAAGAGAATAAGGGTAACAAAGCAAACAAAACAGAGAAGAACTGGGAAGGTTACAAAGAGAAACAGAAAGAAAATGTAAGAATTTGAGTAGCTTCTCTCAATCTTTACCCTAGTCCAGGAATTACAAGCAGAAAAGGGCACTTGAGCTAAGCAGGAAGCGGGCAGAATACCTGGGTCATCTCCCGGATGGACATCACACTATCCAGAGCTTTCTGAAGCCGCTCATAATTCTTCTTCTGTTGAGAGCCAATGGAAAAAAAATAGAGGAAAAAAACCAGAGGTTACAAAGATATGATGAAAAGGAAGGTTAAATGTACAAATTAAGTCTGAACTCAAGGAAGCAGTACTATGCCATGACAAGAACAGACCTTCAAGTCAGATGGGTCTAGAACTGCACTGAGCTAGACCTCTTTTACCAGCCATTTTAGAATGTTACCACCCATGTTTACAAATAATGGAGGGAGGGTTGCTTGGTTGATTTTTGCACATCTGGGTTTTTTTTTGGTGTTTTTTTTGGTGGTTCTAGACAGTGAACCCATGGCCTCACTTAGGTTAGCAAGTGCTTTACACTGAGCCTCTATTTGTGATTAAAAGTAACATTTCTGTGACCAACTTCACAGAAATGTTCCAAGGATAATAAAATGTTTAAATCTAGAGTAGTGTCCAATATATAGTACTGACAGTTTACAGTGAGGCACTGTGATATACACATGATGATTAATTTTAGAAGTCACTTGAACAGGTCAGGGGCTACCTACATATTTGGTCAAACAGGATTCCTGGTTTTGTCTGTGAGGGGGTTTTTGGTTCAGACTGACAGATGAATTCATAGACTGGGTAAAACAGAATGCCCTCTTTAATGAGGACCTGATCTAGCCCAATAAAGACCCAAACAAAACAAAACAAACTAATCTTCTCCAAGCCCAGCCCTCAAATAAAACGGCATTCCTCCTAAGTTGAGGTATCAGTCTTTTCCTGGATTTAGATTTGAATTACTAAACTGAGCTTTCTAGGGTCTAAAACCTGCTTGGCTCTCAGACAGGCACTTTAAACCACTGGGTTTCAGGCCTCCATATGACATCATACTCCACAGGCTCTCTGGGTCTCCAGCTTGCTGACTGTAGATGCTGGGACTTCTCAGTCTCAAGTATCAGGTGCCAATATTCTTTATAACAAAACCCTCCTTCTTTTGTTGGTATATACACGAATGAGAAATATTTATATCTATCCATATCATAATAGCTCTGCTTCTCTGGAGAACCACAGTAGGGTACTTTGTATAATTCTCTCATTTTAAGAAAAGACTTATTTTATGTGTGTATGCCTGAGTGTATATATGCACCAAGTGCCTGTGGAGTCCAGAAGAGGGTGTTGGATTCCTCAGGACTAGAGCTACAGGCCACTGTGACCTGCTATGTGACTGCTAGGAATAGAACCCAGGTCTTCTGGAAGAGTAGTACCTATTCCTAACCACTGAGCCATTTCTACAGTCCAATTATCTCTTTAAAAAAATCATTTATGCTGGGGGTGGTGGCGCACGCCTTTAATCCCAGCACTTGGGAGGCAGAGGCAGGAGGATCTTTGTGAGTTCAAGGCCAGCCTGGTCTACATAGTGAGTTCCAGGACAGCTGGGGCTTCAGGGAGACCCTGTCTCAGAAAGACCAAAAAAAAAAAATTTATTTCACAAAGTATAAGTGTATGTGTGTATGGGGGGGTGGTTACATGTGAGTGCAGGTACCCAAAGAGGCTGGAAGATAGGAGTCAAATTCTCTGGAGCTAGAGTTACAGGCACATGTGAACAACATGACATGGGAAGTGAACTCTGTTATGTTCTTCTGAAAGAGCAGTACACATGCTTCATCTCTGAGCCTTCTCTCAGCCTCATGACTCATTGGGGGGGGTTGTGTGTGTGTGTGTGTTTTTTTTTTTTTAAAGACAGGGTCTTTCTGTAGTCCCAGCTGGCCTGGAACTTGCTATGTAGACCAGGCTGGCCATAACTTGCAAAGACCTGCCTGCCTCTGCCTGCCATCATTCATTTTTCTAACAATCCACAAAGTAAGTACTACCCCCCTTTACAGGTAGGGTAGTTGAAATTGAGAAAGGGTAAGTGACTTCCTGAACATCATTCAACTAGGGAAAAGAACCTCAGATGGCATCTAGCTCTTGCTGGCTCCCACCAAGTTTATATCCTTTCACTGGTTTTAGTTTTGTTTCGTTTTTTCAGACATGATCTCATTCTATTGCCCAAGCTAGCAAAAAATTCACTATGTACTCCAGGCTAGTCTCAAACACATAGCAATTCTGCCTCTGTCTTTCAAGGTTGGGACTGCAGGTATAAGCCACATTTGGACCAAGCCTATATTCTTTCCATCATGATGTAACAGATATTAATTTTTCTCCCCTTCTTCTGGCAAATCCAGCTATTCAGTCACTAAAATAGGTAAGTACTAGAGTTTTGCCTAAGAAATAAGTATTCCATTTTTTATGGCCATTATTTGAAGCTGTGTGTCTACTGGAATGAAAACCCAATCTTCCACCATCTCTTTCTATTTCTGTTCCTTAGCTCCGACTTTCTTTCCAAGCAACTATACCTTAGGGTTAAAGGCCAGAGTCTTGGGATCAGTAGGGTCCACCACAGAGGGGTAAGGTTCGAAGATGATGCTTTTTCTAGGGGACTCCAAAGCTGCCCTACACATAGCCACTAGCAGATCCACCACCTTAGGGGAAAGGAAAGAAAGTAGCAGAATTGAATGACTGCTCAGTCCTGGGAATCACATGGTCTCCAGCTGGCCTGGAACTTGCTCTGTAGACCAGGCTGGCCTTGAACTCACAGAGCCTGCCTCAGCCTCCCAAGTGCTGGGATTAAAGGCATGTCCACCACCTGGATTTTTTTTTTTAAAGCAAATGCATGCATGCCTTTTTAATTAGAAATACAAGATTATAAAATTTCACATACTAGCAAAGTGATTAACAAAAGACAAATGCTCCCAAACAAATTTGCTTGCCCATAGTAAACTACTGATTGAATTTGATATAAATATTCTCAGACATTTTGCTATTCAAATGTTTATTTTTTCTTTCTTGGGCATAGGGGGTTAAGAAATAAACCCAGGGCCTCATGTATGCTAAGCATGTATAACTCCTAAACTCAAATAGTCCTCCTGGCTTCAGACTCTCAAGCAGCTGGAGGCTAAAGGCACAGGCTACCATGAACCTGATTTCACACTGATTTTGGAAATAAAGGTGTCATTGACAACTTTATGTTCAAAAATAATATTTGTTCAGTATTTTCACTGGAAGGCTAGTCTACAATTTAACTAAAGTTGTTACAGTTAGGATTATATAAATTTTTTGCCTTACACTTGTCTTTTTGAGACCTTGAATTTGCACAGATCTGCCTGCCTCTGCCTCCTGAGTGCTGGGATTAAAGGCCTGTGCCACCACACCCAGCAATTTTTTTTTTTTTTTAATACAGTCTCACTGTATAGCTCTGGCTGCCCTGAACTTGTTATGTAGACCAGACTACATCAAACTCACAAACATCTGCCTGCCTCTGTCTCCTAAGTACTGAAATTAAAGGTCTGTACGACCATGCCCAACTTTATACTTTAGTGAACATCTACATATCGAACATTTCTGGAGGTTAAATTCCAAGGAGTTAAAATTGCTGGGTTCTTCTACTTTTCTTGATCCCAATTTCCCAGTGTCCTTTCCCTCTCATACCTCTGCTCCAGTAGCGACCTCTTCTGCAGCTCCAGACATGACTCCCAGTGTGTAGAAGGAGAAGACACATAATTCACGAGTACAGACAGCTGGCTAGATGGACACAGCAAGTAAACAGACAGTAGAGGTATAGGTTTTAATATTAATAAGCTGTAGGGAGATAGAGACCTGATCTTGGGCAACTGTAGGCAAGAATCTGGGGCCCTTAATGTGTATGTACATTGGGGGTAATATCAAAATAGATAAAGCTTTCCTTAAAATACTTCACTGCTAAGTTTGAGTGATGATGTCTACCTATAAAGGCTTTCCTGACCTTTTAGTATTTTGATGCTCTCTTCAAAATTTCTACAATA